ATTTAAGCCTCCATACATGGCATATCACATGTATATCACATACATACATCATTTCTATCAAAACCCTAATCAAGAAAATTCTTAAATCTCAACTTGGGTTGGGATTTACTTACCTTGTTATGGAGAGACTTCACTAACTCTTCCTTTCACTTGGTTTGCTTGACTTTTTCTCTACTCTTAACCAAAAGAACAAAAATCCTCAAACTTCAATATATACTAAAACTCACAAAGTTTCAAAACCAAAGTAAGAATCCTTACCTTAGGAAGCCTTAGGTTGATTTTCTACCCCAAATCACTTCAAAAACCCTTTAAAACTCCTTGATCAAAAGAAAGAGAAGTTGAGAGGAAACAAGAGAGGAGAGTTGCATTTGAGGAGAAGAATGAAGGGTTTGCTAATTCTTAACTCCTTTTAATGAAATTTATACACAAGCATTCCCATTTTGCCCTTACTCTTCTTTGGGAATTCTATCTATATCCTTTGATTCATTACAAACACACCCCCATATCAACATATTCTCCATGAAATTTCCTTACAATTTACTCCCCACTTTTCCTGTTAATTAGGGGTAGAATGGTCAAATTGCCCTTAGGAAAGAAAATATCCAAAACTTAATAAACATTTTGGTCGGCCTGTCGCCGTGGTGAAGAAGCTTCTGTCGCCGTGGCGAAACTGTCCAGAGAGTTTCCCTGTGGTTTCAACACCTCTTCGCCGCGACGAAGATTCTTCTTCGCCCCGGTGAAGCTTGGCACACTGAACTTCTTCTATTTTCAACAAATTACAGGGCAAGAATTCAACACAACACTCAATCAAAAAATGTTACCAAGAAACCAACTCAATAAGAGCAAAAGAAGAAACAACAACTACGTACCTCAAGTAGGGCGTTACATTGATGCCCTTGAAAAGAACCAACTTGGACACTTGTTCTAGCCACTACCGATATGAACATAGTGAAGAATAAATGGGTATTTAAAAGGAAATTCAATGTAGATGGCTCCCTTTAGAAGTATAAAGCCAGGCTTGTAGCCAAAGGATTCCAACAAACCCCTAGCCTAGACTACTTTGACACATTTAGCCCTGTGATGAAGCCATCCACCATCAGAATTATCATCACACTTGTTGTTTCTAATGGGTGGGAAATACAACAAATTGACATCAATAATGCCTTCTTAAATGGCACCCCTAGTGAAGTTGTTTTCATAAAGAAACCAGAGGGTTTTGTTGACTAACATCTTCCTCATTTTGTATGCAAATTAAATAAAGCTCTTTATGGTCTCAAACAAGCTCCTAGGGCTTGGTTTGACAAGTTGAAAGAAGCTCTTTTAAGTAGAGGTTTTCAAAATTCCATTTCAGACACTAGTTTGTTCACTTTGCATCATGATGGCCATATGATGTATCTCCTTATATACGTAATGACATATTGATTACTGGCAGTCACACTCAGTTTATACATCAGTTGATTCAGGATTTGAACAGCCAATTTTCTCTAAAAGCTCTCGGTAAAGTTGAATATTTTCTTGGTATTGAAGTTTCTAGAACAACTCAAGGTTTACACCTTAAGCAAACCAAATATATCTCAGATTTACTGGCTAAAACAAAGATGTCTGAAGCTCATCTATGTACTTCACCAATGGTCGTTGGCACCAAGCTAAGCTCTAAGGATAGTGAGGTTTTTAAAGACCCCACTCTTTATAGAAGTACCATTGGTGCATTGCAATATTTAACACTCACTAGGCCTGACATAAGCTTCACTATTTACAAGCTCAGTCAGTTCCTTCAAGTTCCTACTGACCTTTAATGGCAAGCTTGTAAACGGGTACTTCATTACCTCAAGGGCACTCAAGATCATGGTTTACTCTTCAAGCCAGTAGCCTCCCTAAGTGTTGAATGTTATATTGATGCCAATTGGGGTAATCTACAAGTGGATATTGTGTATATTGGGGCCAAATCTCATTCAATGGAGCTCTAGAAAACAAAAGGTTGTGGCTTTATCATCTATAGAGGCCGAATACTGGGCTTTGGCTCAAACTGCAACTGAAATTGATTGGCTTCAAAGCATGTTTTTGGGACTAAAATTATCTTTTCATGATTCCCCTGTTATATGGTGTGATAATCTTAGTGCAGGGGCCTTGGCTGCAAACCCGATCTTCCATGCACGAACCAAAAACATTGCGCTGGATGCTCATTATGTTCAATACCAGGTTATTGTTAAAAAGTTAGTTGCGCAATATGTTCCTTCTCAATTACATATTGTCGATATAAGTTAAATGTGGTTCATGTTAATAGCATGCAGTAGCACTCAATAAGTTGAATGTTGGATGAGATTGAATGATTACTCTTTCCTCTTACTGAGTAAAGATGATTAGCTAAGTTGCAAGATAAATGCAGCAGTTGATTGTTGCAGCAATTGATTGTTTTTAAGCAGTAGTTGATTATTATTTTTAAGCAGCAACAGTTGATTATTTTTTTAAGCAGTGTCAATTTTTCATTAGTCATTGCTTTTAGTCCAAAAAAAAGGGGTAATCTCTTGATCAGCTTGTGAAGATTGTGAATCAGAGAAAGATTATTTCAGTTATAGTGCAGTAGATTAGCAGAATGAACTTCTTATAGCAACAACTAAAAAGCAGCAGTTAAAAAGCAGCAGATTTGTTTTAGTTAAAATGTAGCAAATTAGCAAAATGGACTTCCTGTAGGAGCATTAGTTTTTATTTTTTTATTTTTTAGTTAAAATGTAGTAGACTTTTCATTTTCTTTGTGAGGGAATGTTGTTATGTATTGCAACAACATGAGAAGTTAAAATCAGAGTAATTTGGCTTGAGTGAGCATGTTGACCAAGGTTGATGTAGCTGGAAATGGCGTGAGAAGTTGGATTCATAGTAGTTTGGTTTGAGGGAGCATATTGACCAAGGTTGACTTTTACATTTAAGGACAAAAGTGTAAAAAGGAGAAACGATGTCGTTTCTCTCTTTACTTTTCTTTTTACTATTCTTCTCTCTTGTTCACTCACTTCTTCATATAAAAGTGAGTTAAGTCATTTTTGTACTTTTAATGATTAAGCAATAATAGAGCATTCTCTCTCAAAATTCTTCCATTTCTTTCTAATTTTCACATGTTTGACTCCCGAACCATCTTTGGTTCAACAACCATAGCCGATCATCTTTCAAGTCATAGAACATCTCGCTCTACCCTTTTGGGTCAACTGGCTCCACCCCAAGTCTAGGCGTTTGATCCTTTGACCGCATATTCATAGTTTGTTTCCAATCCACAACATAAGCCAAAACCCCTCTTCAAAACTTGCTCTTGAACTCTAACCATGCTTAGTTTAAACTCTGACCGTTTTCAGCGACCGATCGTATGACCTCACCACTCACACACCACCGCAACTACCCAGCCCCCCATCTCACCCCAATCCAACCATCATCACTCACTGTTGGTACCCCACCATTCATTATGTACTTGCCATTTGCTATGTTTTTGGGTTTTTTCTTTTGATTTCATTAATTAATTTTTTGGTTGTGAGAAAGTTTGATTGTTTGGTTGAAGGTGAAGAATCCTACCAATTTGGGTAAAAAATCTAGCAGGGATCCATGAAAAATGGGCAGCACCGACGCTGATAATGGTGGTAAGTTGAAAGAGGGTGCTTTTGAGAGAAATTTGAGATGTTATTTTGAAATTTATATTCATTTCAGATTTAATATAGTGCAAATGACTACTTTACTCTTTTTAATTGTTACATTAAACAATTTTCTATTAATTTAAGGGTTTATAAAACTAGTGGTGAGAATTTGCCATTTCACTAAACTTTGGGTAGAAACATGTCATTTACTCATAAATTAAAGATAAAGTGTATGCAAGGTGATTCTCTTTTGTTAACTTTAGTTAATTAATAAATTAAAGTTAAGTTTGATTTTGAGGCAAAACCTTAAGAATAAATTATTTAAGTGAATTTTGAAAGAAAAAGATGAAGATTGAAACAGCAATTAAGCATGCAAATTAATAAAACTCCCTGCTATTCTCATGTCCTTTTCACATGAACCTTTTATAGTATAACAAAATTGTCCATCCGATAATCAAAAAAGAAGCTTATAGTGAAACAAAAAAATATTCTCTAAAGATTGGTCATTGTAATAATGTATTGAATTACTATACTAGTTGGAGAAATTTACTGAAACAAGAATCACTACTGTTACACATTATGAGAAAAATGAATTTAAGATTATTGATACTTTAAATGTTAGACATGTGTATTGAAAGCAAGAATCGGGAGAATTTATCTTATTCCTTGAACAATAATTTATTGGCTTATAAATAGCCTTACAAAGATAACTAAAATAGAACTGAATGCAACCCACATTTAACCATCCTAAAAACGTGGTCAATGACTAAAGAATAAATCAAACCAAATAACACATCCCTTATCAATAGGGAATACAAACAAATTAGTAACAAACTACTTAAAACAAATCAAAACACTAACAACTTTAACATCCTCCCTTAAACTGAATGCTTTTAGTAATCAGAAAAGCATTCAGCTTACCTTTGGATTCAAACAAACACCCAACAAATCACATATTTTCAAGAACGCATCAAACTTTAAAGGTTTGGTCATTATATCTGCAACTTGCTCCTGTGTATGACAATGAACTATCTTTACAATTCCATCTTTGGTGAGTTCTCAAAGGAAATGAAAATGAACATCAATATGTTTGCAACAACCATGGATCACTAGATTCTTAGAAAGCTTGATTGCTGAATTGTTATCACAACAAACTATTGTGGAATTATGTTAAGCATGGTTGAGACCTTCTAATATCCTTCTTAGCCATATTGCTTGACAAGCACCCGAAGTTGCAGCAATGAATTCAACTTCAGTAATGACAAGGTGACTACAGGTTGTTTCTTCAAGGATAAGACACTGCTCTTGAGATCAACATAAACACATTACCTGAAGTGTTTTTCCTAGTGACTAAATCCCCAGCATAATCACTATCTGAGTAGGGAATTAGTTCCTCACTTCCTTTTTTTCTTGTAAAACACCAAAATCAATGGTACCTTTCAAGTACCTTAGTATCCTCTTTGCAACTTGAAAATGAAGTTTTGTAGGGCAATCCATGAATCTATTGATCAGACTCACCAAAAACAGAACATCTGGTCGAGTGATAGTCAAATACATAAGACTTCTCACAATCTGCTTATAGAAAGTATTGTCTATCCTCACTCCATCTACATTTTTTGTAAGCTTGAATCCAAGAACCATAGGGTTGTGAATTGGATTGGCCTTGTCCATGCTGAACCTCTCCAATACCTCCTTTGCATATTTCTTTTGACTAATAAAGATGCCATCTAATCTTTGCATCACCTCGATGCCAAGAAAGTATCTCATTCTTCCAAGATTAGTCATATCAAACTCAAACATCATGGATTTCTTAAACTTAGCAAACATAAGCTCATCATTTCTTGTAAATATAATATCATCTACATAGAGACACATAATCGAGATCTTACCTTTTTTTCCAATCTTGATGAACAAAGTATGTTCATATTGGCATTTTTCAAATCCTTGTTTCATAAAATAGTATTTTATACGACTATACCAAGCTTGCAGAGCTTGTTTAAGTCCATAGAAAGCCTTTTTCAATCTATACACCTTCTTCTCATTGCCTTTCTGTTCATAGCCAGAAGATTGTTTGACAAAGACTTCTTCACTTAATTCACCATGCAAGAAGGCCGACTTTACGTCTAACTAATAGACTGTCCACTCCTTTAAAGTTGTAAGAGAAATCACCACTCGAATTGTATCTAATCGAGCTACAAGTGCAAAGACCTTGGCATAATCCACCCCGTGTTTTTTAGTGTACCCTTTTGCTACCAATTGGGTGTTGTACTTATCCATTTCTCGATTCTAATTGAGCTTTGTCTTGTAAACCTATTTTACCCCAACTTTTTTTGCTATAGTAGGTGAATCTGTCAACTCCCATGTATCATTCCTCTCTATGGCTTCTATCTCTACATCCATTGCTCTTCTCTATTTCGTACTTTTCACAACATCGCCAAATGAGATTGGATCATTGCCTACAAACAAAGCTTGGAATGTAGTTTCTTCTTCCTTAGAGAAACCTTTGCCACTTCATAATCTCTCATCTAAGTTGGTGGCCTTCTACGCTTCCTTCATTGGGATTAAGTGGATTTTCTTCATTTGACTCATCTGAATCATTACCCTCCATATGTTCTATTACATTGTCATGGTGATCAACTTCAATGTTTCCTTGGTTTCCTTCATTGTTATCAGTTGGAACCGTTTCTTTGTTATTTTCTCCCCAGTCCAGATTAGCTATAATGGCTTCTTCATGATTTTTGTTCCAATCCCAACTGTTTTCTTCTTCAAACTTCACATCTTTGCTTACCATTATCTTCTGAGAGACTGGATCATATAATCTATATGTCTTCAGCTCCTCACTAACTTTGAGTAGAACACATCCCACACTCTTGTCATCAAGCTGAGCCTTTTTACTGTTAGGAATATCAACATGTGATATGCAACCAAACAACCTGAAGTGATCAATTGATGGTTTAGATCTACTTCAAGCTTCTTCTAGAGTCATGCTTTTTACTACCAAAGTTAGACTTCTATTTAGAACATAGATAGCCCAATTGACTGCTTCAAGCCAGAAAGTTTTAGGAATCTTTCTTCCTAAAAGCATGCTTCGAACCATACTCATAATAGTGTGGTTCTTTCTCTTGTAATATCATTCTATTGTGGAGTATATGCAGTTGTCAGTTGTCTACATATGCCATTTTCCTTGCAAAAATCAGTGAACTCTTGTGATGTGAATTTACCTCCATGATTAGTGTAAAGGCATCTTATATATGAACTAGTTTCTTTCTCGACATGACTCTTATAATTCTTGAAAGTGATGAAAGCTTCTGACTTCTCTACTAAGAAATAAACCCATGTTTTGCAGCTAAAACCATCAATGAAAGTGATCAAGTACCTTTTTCTTGCTATTTGAGGTGGGGTTGATTGGTCCATATATGTCAGCATGCACTAGCTCAAGAATTTGAGAAGCCTTCCATGTGCTCTCTTTTGGAAATGGATCTCTTCGTTGTTTTCCTACCAAACTGTCTTCACACACCTTTGAAAGAGATTGAAATTATGGCAATCCATTCACTATTCTTTTTTGCTAAAGAGATTTCAAGCCATTGAAGCTTAAATGTCCATATCTAAAGTGCCAAAGCTGAGTTTGATCCTCTGTAAAAGAAGAAAATCATATTTCTTCTTTTAGTTGTTTCTGAGTAGGCAAGATGAAAATTCTGTTTGAGGACATTGCAATCACCATGATTAATCCTCTCTCAAGATGATAAATCTTACATTTCTGACGTTGTATGAGAATTGTAAGGCCTTTCTCTTGTAGTTTTCCCAACTGAGCAAATTATTCTTCAATCCCAGGACATAAAACACCCCAGTGATGACCTACACAATTCCATTCACCAACATTGGTATATTTCCTTTTCCTATCACAACCATGCTTGAATTGTCTCCCAACTTTACAAAAGTGTTGAAACTTTCATCAAGTCTGGAGAAAAGCTCCTTTTTGCCACACATATGGTTGCTACAACCTAAGTCAAGAAACCATAGCTTCCATGACAACCACATATGCCATTAAAAACATTTCTTCACTAGTTTCTGCATAGTGTGTCTTTGTCTCTGTCTTCTTGTTTGGACATTCATACTAAAAATGTCCAAGCTTATGGCAATTGTAGCACTCAATAATAGATTTGTCAAACTTTGTCTACCTCTACCTCATCCTCTTCCTCTAAAGTCACAACGATCTTGTCCTCTTTCTCTTGATTGATCTTCATATGTTACCTTCAATGCTTGTTCTTCCAAAACATGGCCATTCATGCATTGTTCATGCACTAGAAGACTGCTTTGTAGCACATCAGTGGATAAGGTGTCTAGATCATTAGACTTCTCAATAGAGCACACAACATAGTTGAATTTAGGAGTCATAAATCTCAAAACCTTTTCAATGACCTTAGCATCCTCTATCTTCTCACTGTGCACCCTCATCTTGTTGACTATAGTAAGGGTTCAAGCAAAGTACTCATTCAAAAATTCCCCTACCTTCATTTTGAGCATCTCAAATTCCTTTTGAAGAGCTTGACGTTGTGCACGTAGCACCCATGTCATCCCCTGGTACTTCTACTTCAAGGAGTCCCAAATGCTCTTTGTTTATCCTTGTTCAGAATGGTCTTCGGGACTGATCGATCAATGGCCTAGAAGAGATAATTATACTCTTCAAATCCTTTAGTTTTGCATCATTAATCACCTTCTTTTGTCCTTCAGTGAGTTCTACCCTTACTTCTGCTATAGGGATCCCTTTTTCTATCAAGCTCTAATAATCCTTCAAGCGTAGAAAATTCTCCATGAGCATACACTAGTGATCATAGTGTCCATCAAGCTTTGGAATTGCTAGTTGCACAAAGCTACTTTCAGTTGCCATCCTTACTACTACACGTTTAGAAGATTGCTACTTCTCAAGTTTTGATCAGACCCAGTGATGGAGCTCTAATACCAAATGTTGAGAGACCGGTGTATTGAAAGCAAGAATTGGGAGAATTTATCTTATTCCTTGAACAAAAACTTATTGGCTTATAAATAGCCTTACAAAGATAACTAAAACAGAATTGAATGAAACCCAAATTTAACACTCCTAAAAACGTGGTCAATGACTAAAGAATAAGATCAAACCAAATAACACATCCCTTATCAATAGGGAATACAAAAATTCAGTAACAAACCACTTAAAACAAATCAAAACGTTAACAACTTTTACATTATAATCCAATTAATGTAATACCCAAGATGTCAAAGGTATATTCCTAACTCAAAATAGTCCTTTAGATGTTGATTTTATGTTAAAAAAGCATAAAATCTAACTAAGGGTATTTAGTTAATTCATTTGGAACGGTATGAATCAATTATCCATAGAAGGGCATTAGGGGCGAAATGGTTATTTTGCCTATAGATAAGCATTGAAAAAGTCAAGGATGAGTAGCTTAATTGCATTTAATGGCATTAATTAAGTAATAATTATGTCTAGTGTGAAATGACCAAAATGCCCTTCTATGAAGAATTAAGGACTTATGAGTTATACAATTAAAATAATTAGGCCAATAGCATAATTTTGGAAAATAAACGAAATATTTTCCTATACATGAGATGAAATTCGTTCAAGCCAAGGGAGAGAGCATTTCTTCAACATTTCTTCCATTTTCTCTCAAATCTTCCATGAAACAACCTTTATTTCTCTAAGTTTTAAAGGAGTTTTGCTTAATTTTTCAAGGAGAACAAGATAGAAGCCTTGGATCTTCAATTGGAAGGGTTTAAGGTAAGGATTAAAAACTTTAGTTTTGATGTGATTTGAAGATTTGAAGTAGATGTTAAGGTATAATGTTATATATGTAGGATTAAGGTGTAAAAGCAGACAAAGGCAAAGTCTTCCAGCTGGCCTGATGGTACTCACCTCTCTTATCACAAGTAATTAGCCTGCAGGTCTTGTGTTCGAGAGGTGGGGGAGGCGAAAGAAACCCACTTGCAGGGGTGGGGATATTCCTATGAGTGGGCCGCATGGGAAAGCCCCTTGCCCAACGGCCCAAGGGCGGGGTAGTTGAGGGATAGCCCATGGTCTCACAATAAAAGGCGTCTTTTTTATTGTGAGACCATGGGCTATCCCTCAACTACCTCGCCCGACGGCTCAAGGGCGGGGTAGTTGAGGGATAGCCCATGGTCTCACAATAAAAGGCGCATGGTCTCACAATAAAAGGCGCCCTTTTATTGTGAGACCATGGGCTATCCCTCAACTACCCCGCCCTTGGGCCATCGGGCAAGGGGCTTTCCCATACGACCCACTCATAGGAATATCCCCACCCCTGCAAGTGGGTTTCTTTCACCTTCCCCACCTCTCGAACACAAGACCTGCAGGCTAAGTACTTGTGACAAGAGAGGTGAGTACCATAGGCCTCACTCACTTGGATATCCCCACCCCTGCAAGTGGGTTTCTTTCACCTTCCCCACCTCTCGAACACAAGACCTGCAGGCTAAGTACTTGTGACAAGAGAGGTGAGTAGTTGGAGGAATTCTTTAAAAAGGTAAGGAAGAACCTCCCATGACTTTAGGGTTTATGCTAGGGTTTGTAGATTTTTTATGAAACCTTAAATTAAGGCTTTAAGGCATAGAATTGGTTGATGGCAAGTGTGGTTGAACTCATTTATTCTACTTATTGCCTTGAATTCATTATACATGAAGTTATTGCTATTTATGTTTTATAAGTTGTTATGTTTGATTGAAGAACATGAAGTATGGATGCTGATTGTGGCAAAACTTGTAGCATTGGAGGCCACATGGTGTTGAATGGTTGCTATTAGAAGTGTTGAGGTATTGTTTGCATTAGCTTACAATGTTATAACAATAATGGATGATTATGGGAA